TAATTATACTCCTATACGAACACACGAAGGGAAAGGAAAACAATTTCCACTACCTATATATATATATATATATATATACATTATTATATATTATATCAATTTGTATACGATGCTCGCGCTTTCTTATCATTACCTTCAATACAATGTACCGCACTCTGCAGTGCCTAAAAAATAATAAAATTCTATATTCTCAGTCTGCAATCCTGATTAATTTTAATGTGGTAGAACATTTATGGATTATTATGATATGAATTTTTATTTTGTTTATTGAGTTTAAAACTTTAAATGCGCACTCGCGAATGTTATACTCTGTGTATTTTATAACACGTGTTAAAAAATGGTTTGCAAAATAAACATGTTATTTACAATGCGTAGGTACCTATAAATAGTACGTGATATAAGAAGGCGAGACGTACACCACAGTGGACATCATATTATCTGGATAATAATATATTATAGACACACCATATTATAATATTATTGTTATTCTCCCGGTGATATACCACCCAAGTATATTATGATCGATGTTTAGTGTACGGTCGATGGTTTCGGAATATTATTATGACATAGGACACGAGAGAGAGAGAGAAATCACACAAACCCAAAATAATCGTTATTATTATTATTATTATTATTATTATTATACAGATAGGAACTTGTGTGGTATATGATTTGGAACATTACGAAATAAATATCAAAATGTCGACGTCTAAAACACCGCGCGCACGCCTTGCGGGTAACGACAGATCGCGTTGTAAACACACTCTACACATATTATATGCGTATATATATATATATATATGTAATGTCTAAGTATATAAGACGTGAGGTATGTGATGTGCGCGCGTTTAATTATATAGTCACGGGCGCGTTGCATGGCCGCTGCCCAGTGCGAGATTTTCTTTTGGTTTTCGGTAAAACTGTCAATCTCGCAGTGGCGGACGAAAACACCTATAGGGATAATAATATCATAATGTACCTACGCCACGCGCGCGCACGTATTCATAATATTTTATATATACATATATAATGTGTGTAGCGCGCAATAATTATATTAATTATTTTCGACGCTATATAATAAGCATATTATGTATACGCGCCTATACCTACACTTAAGAACTTATTCAAGTATTCGTGATGATAAATGCAACTATATTGCTCTAGTATAACATACTGTCAAAATAGTAAAATTTTCGAAAACAACTTAATATCATTTTATTAATATTTTATCACGAATCGTAATAACTGTTCGGCGATTGTCTGTCATATCGTCCGATCGGTTTTGTCGGGTAAGTTGAATTTAAATGTACGTTAGCTTTGTTTACGTGAAAATATTATCAGCTATAGATTTCTTCCAACAGTCGTTCACCCGGCACGATTCAACGCAGTGAACTGCGACGTGCGATTCAAACACAACAATTAGAAAACTAAAATAATGTCATCACGATTTTTAAAATGTTGACAACTCAAGAAGAAAAAACTATTAGGTATACTATAAAAGTTTTTTAAAAGAGTTTTGTATTTTCACAATATTATTTTAAATATCTTTTATAGAAAAATGTTACGACGAAACATACTTTTATATCGGTTTATTATCGATATAATGATTCTGATTATGTATTAAAAATTTAAATAAATCAAAAACGGCGAGAAACATAAAAAAAAAATTATCAGAATATACATCTTAAATAACTTATTTACATAATAATATTTTTGTACCTACACACAAAACTGTTTTTTAATATAATTTATAACGTTTGCAGAGTAACAATACCTACAATAATAATTGCATTCTCAGTTTTTTTTTATTCTATTATATCTATAGATATTACGTAAATGTACATACATTAATTAATTAACTAACGTTATAGATTATCTATGAATCAAGCATAAATTATTACGGTTTTTAAATTATTTTTCAAATCTTGATAAGTCGTTACTTTGACGAGACAAAATTTTTCAATCTCCTTTTAATTCAAGATATTGAGATTTTACGTATTACTGTATATCCTATGCATATATATATATATATATATGTTACGGGTAATGTTAACATTCGGATAATGTCGACATTATCCGGCTAATGTCGACATTAGCCATCCATGTTGGCTAATGTGTAATTTTTCGTTTATAAACTTGAAATATCAACATTATCCGGATAATGTTAACCTTAGCCAGTCAATTTTGGATAATGTTAAAAGTTATGTACTATTTAATTTATTTAAGTTTCATCACTGCTTGGTATATTAATTTAACGTGACCACTGACCCCAGCTTATCTTACCGATAATCAATCGATAATAATAGAAAAAATTCTGAAATTTGTTTGATAAATCAAGCTGAAAAAATGAAATTTAGGTCTATCCATAAGTTTCCCCCAGCTAACGTCGGAGATAGTGTGAGAGTCACTTTACCCGATGTCGACAGAGGACGAGCAGACCCAAGAAATATTTTATTTGCAGTTGTGGCTATTGAGGACGAACAATATTATAAACTTGGTAATAAATATGGTACTTTGCCACAGTTATATACCAGAAACCAGTTTGGTGTTTGTCCGATATCATTAATACCGCTTGATGAGGTGGTACCTATAGAAAAATCATTGAGGGAAATTGCTGGTCTAATATCAGACGGTAGTGGTGGTCAAGGATACAAAAGGTGTTCATGCAAAGGTAAATGTGATACCAATCGTTGTAAGTGTAAATCATCTAATATTTTGTGTAATTCAAAATGTCATGGAAGTATGCCATGTAATAATAAATAATAACACATTCATTCTATTCTTAAATACTATTTAAAAAAAAATCTTAAAATATAAAATAAAATTTAATATTGTATTATTAGTAGATTAGGTTATTAAAAATGAAAAATAAGCTCATTTAAATTATACTCGTATTATGTATTTTATGGTAATTAGTAATTATTGTATCTTTTTTTTTTTGGCATATGGTTAATTGTATCTAAAATATATTTAATATTGCTAATAATTTAAAATGATTTCCTATCATGCATGATGCAATTTTATAGTTGTTAAGACATTATCCATAAGTCCTTGGCTAATGTCATATTAACCGGTTAATGTTAACATTAGCCGGCATTTAATAATATTCATGGCGGGTAATGTTAACATATGGCTAATGTCGACATTAGCCGGATAATGTCGACATTATCCGAATGTTAACATTACCCGTGACATATATATATATAGTATATGATATGAACGCACATATAAGAGAAATGATTCATCTCGGCCAATTATCTGACCTAGCTCAACCGGAAAATGTCGGATTTATAATTACTCGACTGCTTAGATTATTATTATAATATTGCGATTCAATGAGCATTTAATTATGTTAATTCGCCCGGTTGTCTGTCGCGGCAGGCCGGCCAAAGAAAAAAATCAGCACAACGTTCGTCGCCCGCCACGATGTATATATTATACGATTTATATTTAAAGATGCGCGTTCCCGCCCGTAACCTGTGAAATGCAAATTTACCACAGACCACTGTATAATACATAAAATAGTATAAATTATAATGGTGTCCAGCCCCTTGATTCAATCTCTATTGGTGCTTAATGTGCGGTATTAGCCAGCACGCTATAATAATAATATATACTATGTCGATGACGCGTAAATTATATATAGTTCAAGACAACGATGATAGATGAAGATTTGAAAAAAAATTTTAATTTTAATCTATATTGATTCAAATTGGTGCATTTACATGACAAACCACGTCTAGAAATATTTTTAAAATTCAAAGTGAAAGTCGAAATATATAGCGTATTTATGAACATTCTGCTGTGTTTTAACAAACGCCTTTATCTCGTCCTATTTTTTTTTTTTGCCGACTAAAATTATAATTATAAATTACAAATAACGGTATAAAATAAGATTACTTTTTTCCTTTCGAAAATGTATAATATAGACTAATAACAATTTATTTATTTTATAATAATATATACTGAGTAGGTTATTAAATTTATTTGCCGATTACACTTTTATTTCTTCGGTGTAGATATGTCAAAATGTGCTATAAATTGTACGCAGTCAATCGTGCCGACCCGTAGTTTGACGTAATACCGACCGCTGTCGTTTCAAGAAATTTACTGCTTATAAAAGACGCTAGTTTTAGCTTTTTATTTTATATCACCTCTATTATTTATGTACCTGTAGGTGTATATTAATTTGCGTAAGAATCAATTCATCTCCTACGCGATAAAAAATATATGTCGCTATACTATAGTATATACTTATTAAAGTAAGCTGCATAAATTGGATTTGCAACGAAATTTATTTAATTGCAATCAAATACTTTTATTAGAATATTATATAACTGCGGTAAATATCGTTTTTAATAAATAAAATTTTTTTCTCGCATCTATAGACATAATCTTGGCCTACTATAGATGATTACATGTCTCGCCAATCTGGGAACGATTCACAAATTTAAACAGACTGCGAAATTAATTATATTAAACGCTCCTTTACGAATCATATAGGGAAAAATCGTTTATTCCTTTATTTATTTATTTTAACAGCGAACGTGTGCATCGCATTATTCTAAAACTGAACGTCCTATTTGACAACGAGGAAAAAAATTATAAATTTGAATTTAGTTAGTTAAAAATAGGGAGAATAGCACATACTGCAATATGACAGAATGTAAAAATTTACGAAGAGTTGTAGTTTAAAAGTTATAGACCAAAGAATGGGATATGGGTATCTATATCACATAGTATAATATAGTATTGATAAAAAAAAATTAAATTGGTATCGTACCTCCCCTGTAGACTAACAAGTCAAAGCCGAGGTATCTACGAATGACTGTTCGAAGTCACACTGGGAGGAAGTAATCAATACTTTGGGATGTGACCGACATTATGTTTTGTCACTTCTTTTACTTTATCACTTTGCTGGCAATGTGCAGTCTATTATGATTATTATTACAACCGTTACAATACATCATGACATTTATTATTATGCGTTTTTGGCACAGGGACCAAGAGGCGGCCGTGATGCGGGCCAACAGTTGGCTGTACCACTATTACATGGTGCAGAGCAAACTTCAGTACGGGATGCAGTTCGAAGCGCAGACGTCGCCGCGAGTACCGTCCACCGGGCCGGCGCAGGGGCAGACGGGCGTACCGCCGCAGACGGCGGCGCCCGTGTACGCTTATCACCACCAACAGTCGCCGCATCAGCAGGACAGCGCTTACTCGTCGGCGGACCACCAGCACCACCAACAACACCAACAGCACCACCAGCAGCAGCCGGTGCACTTCCACCAGTTGCCGGACGGATACTTCCGGTACGCCGCGGCTACAATGACCACCGGTGCGGCGGCGACCACGGCCGCGGCTACAATGACCACCGCGGTGGCAGCGAAACGGCACAGGCTGGAACCCGAACCCGTCGACTATTCCATACACTCGCCCGAGCAGACGCCGCCGTTGAAGATCGAGGACGGCGGCCACTCGATGGCGTCCGACTCGCCGCCGTCGCCGCCTTCGATGGGCGGCGGCGACTCGGGCGGAGGGTGCGGTACCGCCGCGGTGGCCGCCCTATCGTCCACCCTGCCGTCGGCCACGTCGCTGGGCCGTTCCCGGGCGCTGGTCAAGGCGGCCATGGACCCCGGCGATCTGATGATGGAAACTTGGAATCCTAGTCCACCGTGGTCGGACTGCTGTTCCGGCACCGGCGCCCTGCAAAAGGTGCCCGACGTGGACATGCTCGGCGGCGGCGGCGGTGGAAGTTACTGCGGACAGCCGACGCCCCCCACGCCCGGTAGCGGTGGCTCGTACCACACGTCGTCGGGCGCGCCCCAGCAACACCACAACCATCACCACCACGCGGGGGGCTGCGACGAGGTGCCCACCGCGGACGCGCTACACCAACACCACCACCATCACCACCACCACCACAATCACCAGCCGTCCACGTTCACGTTCGACTGGCCGGGCGAACAGTACGTGCCCAACGTGCACGAGGTCCTGGTCGAGCCCACGCCGCACTACATAGTTCCGTTTCCGCCGTGGCCGCACACCGCCGCGGCCGACCACCACAGGCTGTTCCCGCTCCAACCGCCACCGCCCGGCTCGCTGAACCGACCGTCGCTCATCGTGCGCGTCGACCAAGACGCCGCAGCTGCCGACGCTTCCGTTCAAGGTAAACGCACTTTTCCGGTTTACGGTGACCGTCCATTGCACAACCCGCATAAAAGAGCACGCGCGTTAGGATATGATGTCGTATTATGATATGCGAATTGATAAAACGCAATGTGTGTGTAAGGAATTTTCGCGAATTTCAAGCAATCTAATCCAAAATTTAACTTGCGAAACCAATCTGCATATCATACAGTTATAAGCATGGAATAATGAATATGATAGTATGCTTTAACCTTAGTCCACGATTCTAAACTATATTTTAGAGAGGAGATAGCCGGGGTATGTTGACTCTCGCAAATCGATTTCGATTCAATAAATTTTCGTTTGTAAAAGGTTACGATTGATCACTAAACATAGAATAGTCGACATGATTGGATATTCGTGATTTTAAACCTTTATTTTTTAATTGGTTAAAACCATCCAAATGCAAATAGTTTATATATGTAACGAATGTTTTAAGACATGGTAAACCCACTGGCATTATTTAATTAGTCACAGGCAATGCCGTGCAGGATAAGCTAGTTGTGTATAAATTAAATATCCGTTTAAGTAACTTATAAAAAAACCTAGCTCTAGAAAAATCTATTTAATTAAATTATCGTTATTGATATTATTAATACCGATTTTGCAATCATTCAAACCAATACATTTATTAATTGATTTTAATTTCATAATTTTACATATTCGAAATATTAACATGTCATATTTCCCTATTTTCGCAAACATATTACTTGGTTTTTTCATTGTGTTCAATTCTCAAGTTCTTTCTGTGGTTTTTTTTTAAATTTATTATTATAATTCGAAAACTCGGAAACGGACCATCCTATTCTCATAAATATAACTCCTCAAACGTTATTTTCACGAAGGCTTCGAATCGTTATGTCATAATACAACACAACGGGCGGTCCGATTTGGTGTACAACGAGTCCTTCGTATGCGTCGTCGAAACAGAGATTTTAGAGTCAATCTTCGCGCGCAAGTGTATATAGCGTCTCTTCGCCGCGGTCTGTTATTAATAGACGTATAACACTATACACCCGTTCGCAATTTGTGCGCTTATAATAAAGTAAGTTATTCACGTTATTAGCTTTATGATATAGGTACAACACGGACGTCGGACGAGACGAGCAAAACTTATCTTTTCCGGGCGGCGATGGTAATAATAATCGCGAGCGGCGTGTGAACACACCGACAAAGACCGACCCCCGAATGTACGCGCGCATGTACTGCAACAGGTGGGCGTGCTCCGGTTTCAATTAAAACGTCGTAGGCAGGCAGGCGGGCGTGATAATGTAAGTGCGTCTGACGTGCGCGCCGCGTTGTCTGCTCATTGTCCGGATCAGACGATTTAATTCTTGCAGTAATAATAATAAAAAAACAATAATATTATATTATTAATTTATACCGTAATGAGCGCCTGCAAAATATTGCCGGTCCGAAGACGAAAAATAAAAATCAGTTTGTTTCTCACAGCAACAGAGCGCGATTCGTCGTTCAAATTAAAATACGTATGATATTCGTCATCGCGTTAAATTTAAAAACCTGACTGTACACCCGCAGTACTCGCGTCACAGCAATTGCATGTCGTGTACATTATCAAGGCGAGCGAGTAAATAATTTTATTTTTAACTAAGTTAAGTCAACTCAGAAAATAATAAGTTGGGTTAAACAATACCAAATATGGGTACTACGAACACAATATGATTTACGTATTAGCAACTTAAATTATAACAGATAGATAAAACTAATTAACCTGGTCTAACTATTTAAGATATAAAATTTGAAATTTTCTAATTAATTGGAAACAAAAATAGTATACGCCTGTTCGATAGATAAATTTCGATAATTTTTGTGTTCTCAAAAATAATGTTGGAAAGGCAGTTGACACCCGACGCAAACGCATATCCCAGCTATCAATAAGGGCCATTCGCAGTTGTACTCACCGGACATCTTTAAACTGTATAAATGATAAAGTAGTGTGAAATTTTGGTTTTGAGTATTTATGAATATCATTTGTTAAAATATCTACTTTAATATATCGATATTTTAATATTTGAGGTATTTCACATCTTTGTGATTCATATTGTCTATTATTTTTGATTTTTTAACTCATTAATGCCCGTCTGCTTTCCATTAATGTATTCAATATTACACGGACAGATCAGTGTAATAGTGGTATACTTTCTATACCTACGCATATTGAATATCGTATTTCCTACGGTTTTTTTTTATTAATTGTATCGTCCCTCTATGGACGACGTTTTAATAATTAATAATATTATATGTAATACCAATCGATCAAACTAAATAATGCCCGTAGATTTATCCCGTCTTAAATTTTGTTAAAATGAAAGCTATACACTGATTGTTATTTGAGTAATTTTTACCGAATATAACAAACATAATATTATCTAAATAGCTATATCGAAATCACAATAATTATTTTATTTTCTGTAACCAATGACAACTTTGTACAAAGAAAAAAGTATTCGGTTTAGTAAACTAACCTAACCGTCCTAAATCTGCATAAGTTTCTCTTTAAAATATACGGATTTCACAAAATCACTTCTTAATGTGTACCTAAAAAAAATTTCCAATGAATCGATTTGGCAGTTTTGGCTGTATACGTCGATCATGAATCGATCAGTCAGGATTTCGTCTTCTATGTAGGTATACACTGCAGATATATTCCACGAATTACGAGTGGTTTGCTATCGTCGCGCGCCGTACATCATCATATAGTTTCGGAAACAGCGAGAGAACGAAACGCATTTAACCACTGCGGTTACTATTTTTTTTTTATGCTCACCGCGGCCCATGGCGCCAAGCTATCGGACCACCGCTGTATCATTACTCGCCCTCCCCCTCATCATCGCAGTCTCATAATATTGGTACGACTATTACGTGCACGCGTATATGGCGGATGTACCTTATGAGCATACCTACTTCGTCCTCGGCGACAGGGCACGCACTGAAAAACGTTACCTACGTCGTTATATTATTACTGTTATTATTATTACTATTACTATATATTGTTCTTATTTTTTGTAATTCTTTTCGGGGGATTTATAATGTCGGGTTTCCGCGCGGGGACCGGATGCTGTTGATCGTTGTTTAGTACATGTGTGTGTCTGTGTCTGTGTGTAAACATGCAGGATGTGTAGGTATGTAACGTGGGAAATGTACGTGTTGGTCGTAGTCCGCCAGCGGTTGACTGGGCCGACGACGCCGCCGCCACCGCCGCCGAAGTAACAGCAACGGCGGCTACGGCGACGGCGACGACAGTAGACACGACGATATGCAAATGAACGTGAAATGTAAATACAAATAATAATATATAGGCATTGGGCGATTCTTTTAACAGTAAACAGTCTCGAAAAGTATTCACGTTGTTGTGTAGCCGAGTAGGTACTAACACTAAGTACCTACTTATATTATTTATATATTTTTCACATAAGTCAAGGTTTAATCTACGAAACGACGTTTTAAAAAAAATGTGTTTCATCTAGTTAATTTTAACCTTTTAAACGACGAAATAACGTTGTAACATTTTTTTTTAAATGTCGTTTCATAACCACAATTACTTATGTAAAAAATATATTTTCAAAAACATTATTAGCATATTTTTTCAGATTACTACTATAGTGCAGTTTACTGTTGAACAAATCGCTCAGTGTAAGTACATACTACGCATGGTGTTGGTGCACGCGTCCGTGCAGAAAGAGAGACTGTTAAACGTTAACGAACACTTCCCATTTCGTCCACTTGATGTTAATGACGCGTGTTTCAATTATTGTGCAGTAGCAATAACAAAATAATAATTATAATGAGGCATTCTCGTACGTCTGTAGCTACTTCAAAAAAAAAAAAAAAAAAAAACGTTGAATGACACATTATTTTTGAAATCCTATTTATTTTTTTCACTGTAATGATATGCGCGTGGAGACAACGAATTGAAAATGACTCAACGTGCGTTCGAATATTATGTTTAGATGCTACGGTTCGGGAAAGTTAAGTTTTTCCCCCGTGAAGTGTTCTAAACTGCGCGTGGCCCCTATACACGACTTCATACTTACGTACTCGTCGTTATATTATCTTTCGAACGTCGCAATTTCCGTGACTTTACCTACAACTGCAGTATATTTATATATTATACATATTATAGGGTCACTGCAGTTACGTATAATACGTTTACGATATAGAAAGCGCGCGTAAAATTAATTGCGTTTATTATATATATTACGCTATGCTCTCCGGTGCAGTGCAATGGTATCGTCCTAATAGTATGCCACGGCGGGATCTAATATTACTATTATGCTAATTTCGTTTTTGTGATTTTTTTTTTTTTTTTTTTGCAGACGGACGTCGTGAAAGTGACATGTGACGAGTGGACGCGAGGATTACGAGAAATCATCGTTGCAGTGGTGTTGGCCTCGCGAGAGAACGCCACCGCGAAGTGTTGTTGTTTTTCGTCTCGTCCGAACCCATAAAAATACGAACGTTTAACAACTCTTGGTATAATATGATATACTATGAGACTTTATACCGCACAAACGATACTCTCGAATGCAGCCGACAATTATACCGGCAATATAAAATTATTATTATTATCGTACAGTTCGCGTAGTTGGCGTATTTTTAGCGGCGGCAGCGGCGGCGGACGCTTTGTGCGTATAACTGCATTCTGCATTCTACGTAAAGGTGTCGCGAACAGGGTGATTCTTTTAATGCGAATTCTTAGGAAAACATTAAAAGTAAATATATTTAGTACGCAAAAAACGTAAAACAGTATATTATATGATTGTAAGCGTTTAAAAAAAAAAGAAATTGAAAAAAATACGTTTTTTTAATTCTTTAAATTTCCTTAGTTGTTGTTGCGCGTTCGCCGTAAAAGAATCAATAAGTAAACGAGAGATCTAACGCACATCGATCTGTCCCAGTAAATACAATTTAGAAAATTCTATTATAACTTGAAACACCCCTATTTCAGTGCCGCTCGCGAGTGCGCGTTAATTACGAGTCACGTGGCTCGCGTTATTGTGAATAATACTTTGTATAGACTATTAGCGTGTGTTGTAAAAAAAAATAAAAAAAATATTGATCGTCTATTCGATCATCGTATTTTATGTACATATTATATACTATAATATAATCCACCAAGCTGCACCTGTGATCTCTGTTTGTAGACGATTTTCGTAGGAAAAGCCTTACAGTGTAATATATAAATCTTATCGTATCATATAAGTCAAATTATATTATTATTATTATTATTATTATTATTGTTTAGTTAATAATTATTACGAACTACCGTCCATATTATTCTTGTTTAATTATTTTTAATCATTAAATATTATTGTAATCGAATTTGTTGATTTTTATATATATATATTTTTTTTTTATTCGTCAAACATATTTTTATACGTTTATACTGTATACCTACATTTTCAACACGCGACTATTATGTATTATGTATTATGCGTATATTAATCATCGCGTGCGAAAAAATAAATTATTCTAAACAAACGCATGCGCGATAAGTATACGATATTATTACGGCTGGTCAAGTGCAATTTATATAGAAGGACATGCGCGTAATGTTTTATCGATGATAACATAATATTATATATTATAATGTTATTAATTATTATGTTATATTATGCGTGCGACATCATTAGCCAATGTTATTATTATTCTTGTTATTGTAATTATTATTGTTCATTATTACATATTATTCTTTTAGCATTTTGTACATTTTCGTGTGTAAAAAAAAAAAACTCGACCAAAAAACTATTTTAATAGATCGATTTATATAAATATAGTGACAATTATTTTAAACTGTAAACACCACGTGTACAGGTATATATTATAATATAATTACATAGTTTTGGAAATAAATGTCAAAAAGCGAATGAGTCAGATGAAAAAAAAAAAAAATTAAGCCTTTTTCTTTTTTTTTTTTTATTCCCTTTAACCGCTCGTACGTAGTTATCTACCTATACTAACGCAGTACCTACCTATCTACCTACCTACAGCAGCTAAAACAGGACCTATAACCCGGTCGATGCGGTTATCGATGCGAGTCGTCGATGACGTCTCGTCCGATGGAGCTGCAGTCGATATGCACAACAAAATAGTCGGTCGTACGACGTATCGTAGCACGTAGGTATATACACTATACCGTCTATATACCTGTGTACCTACCTAATATTGTTACCGTGTGTATAATATACTTATCGCCGGTCGGCGTATTGGTGGTCGACCAATGTATTTATCATTATTATTACGTCCCGGCAACGGACGACCCGCGTGCGGTGCACAAGCCGGTAACCGGTAATTACGATTACCGTCATCGCGTCCACGACAGCAAGTGACTAATAATAATATTATTTCGGTGATTTGTCAAATACCGGCGATAGTGCACGTCGTATACCTACGGTTTTCGTTTGGATTTTCTACGGCTCGGCGGCGGGGTTAATGGCGTTCGTGAGGACGATAAACAAACGATTCGTGGCACTAAATTATTTTAATACCACGCGCGTACAATAATAATAATAATAATAATAATAAAAATAATAAAAAAAATAATATACACGATATCATATAATATTATAATAAATAAGAAAATGAAACGGGATCGCGCGACGTGTGACGTCTCTGCCACGATAAAGATTATGAACCCGTTAATGACTCCGGCCCGGCGGGAAAAGCGTGCCCATAACCGTTGTCCGTGTGGCCGGTGTAGGTATTTGATCGTTATACCGAACACGTATAGTTTTAGTGTGTCACCCCACATTTTAACTCGTACTGCATGATAACATTATTGTGTTCAACGGCGGCATTGATATAATATTTAAATTCGGATCGGTACTCTTGCCTACCTATTTCATATTATTGTCTATGGGCATCACGTGTTCTGAAGTGCGTTGTCTGTGTGACGCGTCAGGTTTTCGTACAATTAATATATCATTGCGGCGCACTGCGATACAGTTGAAATCGGTCGTGTAACGGCAAATACAATAATAATTGTCGTTAGTTTTCAAGTAATGCACTGGCAAAAATGACAGTTATCTCCCCCTCCCCAATGAAAACCTAAGTCCTAAATGAATTTTATGGATATCGTCCGCGGATAAAACAACATTATTGCGTATTAGAAATATTGTCAGATGAAATCGCTTTATATTCTTACTGAAGTCATTGATTTTCCACGAAGTGAACTGTAACCACCTGCTATAATTTAAAAAAATCAGCATAGCAGTAAAATGCTAAAAATTTTGCACTGGTTGTACGCTTGTCACTCGGAACACACACGACACACCCCCTATCAAATACAATAATTTATTTAAGTATTTAATAAAATAGAATATATCTTTATTACCCAATTAAACAACCCACTAAAGTTTTTATTAATAACGACAGGCTTAATCAATGGATATTGCAATAATTATGATTTGCTCCGTGATCATAATATATAATATTATAAGCTTTAACTAGGGCTGAAATTTCTATACAATTTGCATTGTTTTCCGAAGTCGTTTAACATGCGCAATGTGCATCGTATATCATTTTGTTTCACCTGTATTTTTCAATCAGAATATTTTATACCTAATTTTTGAAAGTAAAACATTCCTATAGAATTTAACATAAAAATCCGATTTTAAAATCTTATTTTACTATTTTTTTTTTCATAAAAAAAGTAACTTTAACAAGATTTTCATGTATGAATTTTTTGTTTATCTACGAATATAATATCTGTTATTATTATTTTTAATCATAATTTTTCTGCTGGTAAATAAAACATGAATAATTCTTCTTTACGGATTAAAATTTAGCGCTTTCAACTGACCGTATCGTACAATAACAATTTGTAATTCCAATTAAACGTATAGGTAAGGTTAAAGATACACGTGACACGCAAGCAGTCAAATAATTTTTTTAACTCTGTTGTGTGGTATTTCAATGATTAGCAATATTAGCGGTTTGGTCATGAGTCATAATATTTAATGTAGCTTAAAAGCGAACAAAACGGACGCGAAAACACTACAAACCGGCTGACGATAAGACGTTTCGTAAATACGAGCGGATTCAATAGGTAATATCGTACGGTTTTAAGGTATATTATAATAATAATAATAATAATATACACACACACACATATCGTGTCGGCGCGAAAACGAAATGAACGCGGATTCGACGATGGCGGCTGCGATAATTATAATGGTCCGCCGGAGGACCGCATTCTCGGTGAAATATAATAATTGTTTGTTCGTTTTTGACTGTTTTCAGTTTCGGGACACATTCCACTTGAAGTCGAAAATCGAAACGACCAGCAGCCCGACCGTGCATACTCGTATACAGGACGCAGTTCGTCCGTACGCGCATTAACACGTCTTCTACTCTGCGCGACTATGGTTTAGCGACTGTTTGCCCTGTACACAACACCTTACATTGTATCGAGTAAATAATATTTAACACGTATACTATGTGCGTGCAGCATACGTCGTCCGAGAGAGTGTTGATGTATATTGTATATTGTATTATGTTGCGATCGTAATATGTTATTATATTAATCCTCACCTTCCTGTCCAGCATACGGCGAACGCGTTTAAACGCGACGTTATATCGCTCGAGCACTTAGTATATAGGGAGTTAACCTGCGATTGCGCTTAGAATTACTATTTTTTATACCGATTGCGCTGTATACATTTTAAGGTCGGTAGACGAATTTATTGCACTCAAAACGTTTTAAAATATGCAATGAAAACTTATTAGTTAGTTATAATTATATAATAAATGAATACACACATCGATTATAGTCAGATTTTAAAAGAACCGTTTCACTTTCATCAGATAATACGTTTTAAGGACACGATTTAACTGTACGAGCTCCACTTAATTCCATTTCATTTTTTGATTTAATACGTTTTCGAAACTTAAAATCATCGAGAAGTAACAACGGTTTACCTTTTTCGCGAAGAGCTTGCTTAAAACAATCCATATTGTAATGTCAAACAACTCAAAATAATACCAAACAACAAGATATAAGTAACGGTTATATCATCAATGTGTTATCCTATATCATATAGCATATAATATATGTTGTGCAATAATACAATTAGGCTGATAAATATCCAAAAATAATGAAATCTTATTTTCATCTATCACTCAAATTCATACTTGTACGATCAAATGTGCGTAATAATAATAATAATAATAATTCGTATAAAATATATTTTAACCAGTCACTTAAACCAGTAATAAATTAATCAATAAATAAGTTTTTAATTTTTAAGCATTGTTGTGTTTAGATTGTTTATGCCGATGTTAATGGAATTATATTGATTAATAATATTTTTAATTTTCATATCTGAAGATAGGAAAATTTAAATACAAGCGCAATTGGTACACTGGCTCTAAACAAAAACGTTGTTTTAGGCGCAATTGGTCCATGTCCTTAATACCAGCTAATGACGCGTGATTTGATTTATATTTTCGCAGACCTTTTAAAGAAAAAATGTTCAACAAATTGTTATTGAAGCGTATGTGAGTGCCGTGTTTTACTATAATAACATTAGCTTACTCTGAACTGACAGGTGTACATGTCATAATAGTACAACCAATAAATTAACAGATTAATAACAGGTAGATATAGCATGGTTAATTTTAAAGACCAAATAGTGAACCACCTTCAATATGCCGACTCGAGCGTGAATGCCCGCGCGACTTTCTAATTTAATTTATTTGTTATTAATTATGATTTCTCATTATTTTCTACACTATTAATATTTAGTTTTGGTTTACTGGTAGATCACCGCATATAAATATATAATTGTAGTAATGTTGTAAATATTATTATCTCTAGTTATATATGTAACTTGACGCCTGTTGGCTATTGTTATCGACGTTAAAATTATATTATATAATCAATAAGTTCAGATGGCATTGTCAAAAAACTTATAATGAAAATTGGCTACTTGAGTCTAAAAGCTTCCTTAGAAGTTGATGATCAGAGAATAACTTTTACTACAATAATAAATAAAACATATCTTTATAAAATCAATATACCAACATTCTTCGATCTGCTAAGCACCTAAAATAAACTAGGTTAGGTTAACTCTAAAAAAAAGTCATTCGCCCATCATCCTCTAAAATTAAACCTCTGATTCTGAAAATATATTTTAAAGTTGTTATTTAGTTTTTTTAAAAAAAGATAACGATTATCATCTCCTTTGTGACATCAATTACTTTTGTTGACGATTATTTTTTGAT